AAAAAACCAGGACCAGAGAGTGCTTATTGTGATGTCTCACAGCTTCTTATTTGAACTATGAGGATACAAATCAAACTTACCATCAGTGAAGTGAATTAAGGGACTATTCATTATTTATGCCAGGGGGTAGGCTGGCAAGAATGAGGGGTGGGCCACGTCAAATTCAGCAGGACAGTCAGAGGAGGGGGGGCTGTCATCAATAAATCTGCACACAAAGAGAGGGGTGGGCTACTTGTTTTTTTATTTTTGTTTTAGTTTCAAAGAAATACTTTCAGAGCTCTCGGGATTAACGTACATGGTTTGCAAGCCTCCTAAAGGCTAACAGTTCATGACTGGCAGTTTAAAGTTAATAAAGAAAACAGTCACAATTTCTACCAAATGATATGTCCCAATACTACGTCCAGAGGTCTTCCTTGTTAGTTTTGGTCTAGCCTGCGAGCAAGCTCTTCTATTTGGGCGAATGAAGAGAGTCTCGCGAGAAAGCTCGAGCGAGGCTCACTTCGCTTGCCCAAATAGGAGAGCTTGCTCGCAAGTTAGTTTTGGTCCCTGAGGAGTTCCCACTACTGCAATGATCAACAACAAGGTCAAGCTCGCAGTTACTTCTTTCGACAGAATTACTAGACAATACTTCTTGCTCTTGCCTTCAGATGTTTGCGTCGATTTCTAAACTTGTTTGAAAGAAACGTGAGCCATGATTCGTTGGATTTTACCGTTCTTTTTATCTTGCCTTTTAGTGAAAGTTTAAAATGAAATAAATCCTTTTTTTTTTAACCTTTATCTGCTGGATTTCACCAGCGTGAAATAAAGTGTCCCGGTAAATCTATCCGGCTGTCTGACTTACATTCTGTAGAGGATTGCCACTCGCTGGAAGTGGGTTTCACGGAAATCTATACGTTTTAATGTTCTATAAGCTAAGCCTGGTTCATTTTTTATCAATGCTTTATCTTTGACCAACACTCTTTACTCTGGAATGAAAAACAACAGGACCGGCGTGTCATTGTTCCTTGCGGCTACTTTATTGGCATTTTTCACTTTCGCTCCTCTTTCATTTCTGCATATCCCTTAAGACTCAAGGATAATAATTCGTCTTCCGAATCCAAAAAACCGTTTGTGATATATTCCCTGTCTATTTATTATAGTTCCAGCACAGGAGACAGGGGCGTAGCCGGAATTTCTGCAGAGTTACGCACAATTTTCAAAATCCCCTTGCAGCATTTAAGGTTCTATGTAGTTGTCTTCTGAGTTTGTTTGGTTCAAATTCCAGATAATTTCAAGCTGAATAGTCCCGGTATGAACCGCTTCTAGTTAAAGAGCTACTATTCCTTCCATTGTATTTCGAGAAGGCGCTCTTTAGTGGAAAGAACGAAATGGTGCGAGGAAATCGAGAAGAAAATCAGGGCAGTAGCCAGCCACTGTATGGATCTCGCTTTTTGGGGATTTTTGTTCCGGCTACCACCAAAATCGTAACACTCATAGCGAAAAAGGGATAAACAGGATTGACTAAATCCGAAAAAAAAAAAATTGGCTAAAAGGAACGTAATAAGATCAATTATTTGCTTGTTATTATTATTCGCTTCTTTAATTTTCATTCTTTTATTTTTTTACCCTCGAATTTTTCAAGTACATACATGCGTATCGTGCAAGCCAGTTTTTAAAAGCACATTTAGAGGGGTCATGCGTTTTTCAGTTTTCCTTGGAAGGGGTCAAAACGTTTTGTAACGCTTTCTGATGGATCTTACCAGCCCACCCCCTGGCATAAATAATGAATGGTCCCTTAGAGAGGGCAGCTTGTCATTTGGCCGCGTCTAGTGATAATAATGCTCAATTAAATTATGCTCATTCCGGTAAAACGGATCTTTTTATAACGAAAAATATTACACGTTTCAGGGAAACTGCCCACCTACCCCTCCGCTATGCCAACATTTTGCCCTAAGTGGGAAGTAAGTGTTAATGTTGGCTTAGGGGAGGGGTAAGTGGGCAGTTTCCCAGAAACGTATAATGACCCGAAAAATACATACAATTAACCTGCGAGCAGAGGTTACTCTCTCGCATGGCTTTTAGCGTCGCTTTCTTCAACAAAGAAGTGATTCGATGCGATCGAAATGCGTAGACTTTTATGAGAAACTGTGCTTCTGTGAACTTGAGAGATCTGTGCTTTTAGCAGTTTCAATTGTGTTTCCTAGTTAGACCAGTCTCTTAAAATACTTATTTCAAGCTTAAAGTTTTGATAATAAAGCTATTCATTATTTTTATCTTTCCATTTAACTCATGCCAACGAACACCGAAGAAATGCGCCATAATTTATTTTAAAATTGTCGTTTTTCGCAGAAAAAAAAGATTTATCATCTATTTCACACCTATTATTTCACTTTTCCTTTGTAAATGGCTTCGACCCACCAGAGCGCACGCATCTCTTTAATCACCTGGGTAATTATACAAACAAACAAAATGTAATATCTCGCATGTGTTAAAAAAAAAAAAGAATTGCAAAACCATTACCATAGTATTCGAGCAAAGGTTTTCTTTCATTTAGTAAGTTGTTGGCATTCATGACATTCGCTTTGGTTTGTTTACTTCCCTGAGAGCGGGGGCGTAAACAAGCCAAAGAACGACTCCCCACATGCTAAAAACTATGCCGAAAATAACTGTCGGCTCACAGGGTACATAATTGTCTCTATTCTCATTGATAACACCAACATCAACACAACGTTGTAAGTTCTCGCCTGGGCAACTGCTGACTACATAGCGTGGGCGAGGAAATGAATTTTAGGAGCGAGACATGGGCATGAATGGAAGGCTAAGTCTAAGATTTTCTCGAACTAGAGCAATAAAGTTTGAATAGAGACTTTGTTAACGATGTTACTGGGAGCTTAATATGCTTTTAAATATTCACTAAAACAGCGAGCAGACTAGCAACTGTGTCCTGCTTTGAGCTAAAAGAAATGCTAAAAGATGGCGTTATTGCATTGTTTTTTATAGCTCTGAATTCACGACAATAAGCTTGCTAGCCACTTGCCAGTCAATCTTTCCTTAGACCGTTGGGCAGCTAGTCCGGTAGTTGCTATGTGAAATCAGTATTGCAAAAAAATGTATCCTTGGAAAGATAATTTATATCGAAAAGTCTTTTAAGCAAAGACACAAAAGACCGTTTCTCCGCTTGTTTGCCTAGCTGTTGGTGAGCCGCACGTATATCCAACTGATTAAATTATTCAAAATATTGCTTCCAGGCTTCATCACTATATATAGATATAACTTATTTGTAAGCGAAACTTTTAAATGTGTTGACTTTTGGTATTTCTATCGCTTGCACGAAGCGGTTAGGCAGTGTCAAAATCGTACTGTATTTTGCCCCGTACCTCTTTGCATCGCTAAGTTGAAAGGTTAAAAGTTAAAGCTTGATTTCCATATGATCGCTGCGATCGCTGAGAAAAAAAAAGTTCAGTGATCATAGCGATCATAATTATGGAAACCACTTTCCAGCGATCGTAGCGATCGCTGAGATAGAACTTTTCCCATCTCACGATCACTGGAAAGTGGTTTCCATTATGATCGCTATGATCGCCGCGAACTTTTTTTTGCCTCAGCGATCGCAGCGATAGTAGCGATCATATGGAAACCAGGCTTAAGATTGTGTGTGCCATTTAAAAACGTTTCCTAATGCAAAATAAAGCGACTGTACAGCCTACTTTCCTAGCCTAAGATGCCTTACTAGTTTCTACTGATAGAAGCCAACTATGTTGTTACTCAGCAACCAAACTAGAGAATGTAATCGCTTTGCAAACGATTATCACAAACATTATTTCAGCTTTTGGGTAATGGTAATGGGCTCCAGAAAGCATGACTTGTTCCACGAAAGTGTGTGATTTGTTTGTAATTTTTTAATAGACCTTGTCACCGTTTCCGACGCCATTTTGACGAGTAGGCGAACGCGCTAAAAATTACAGTGTTTGTGTGAGAATCTAATGTCGAATGATTTCCGTAGAACGGCTGTTCTGAAAAAAATATGAATTGTAAACTTAAGCTTCACTCCTAAGAATTCTACTGAAAAAAATTGAGGGCGTTACACGCGCCGGAAGACCTAGAACCACTTTTTTACATTTTCTATACATTTGTCTGTAAGAAAGTCCCGGGAAAAATTACATACAAATATATGGAAAATCTAAAGCACAGGTACGCCCCCCAAACCTTTTACGACAATTCATTGCTTTGTAGCTTTAGTTTACAATTGATATCTTTTTCAGAACAGCGGTTTTACGGAAATTACCTTATTACACTTACTTTTGGCGACACTTTAACTAGCGAATTAAAATCGCTAAATTAAAATGCACCAAAATTAAGTGACGCTAAATTTAAATGGTCGCTAAATTAAAGTGTGTACTGAATATGAAATTCCGCCTTCTAGTGAGTTTGATGTGCATATTCTAACACGGTCGATTATGACTTGTATCATTGACTTTTCTGTGACAAAGTACGTTAAATATGAGCGAGGGCAGCATTTAGATATCACGATTACAGTGGCAGTTTCGTTTGTTTCGTTCAATATTATCAGAACGTTGTATGACGTTTAAATGAAGCTATTGACGTTTATGATTATTATTATCAAATTTGCTAAATTTTCAGTTCGTGAAATTAAGTGACTTACATTCCACAATTTACGAAAAATCGCAAAATTAAAGTGCCGCTAAATAAGGGTTTTTCAAAATCGCTAAATTAACGTGTCGCCAAAATTTCATTCATAAGGTATTCGACATGAGATTCTCACACAACACTGTAATTTCTCACACGCTTGCCTACTCGTCAAGATGGCGTCGAAAACCGTGACAAGGTCTATTGTTTCCCAAAACGTTATGCCCTCCTGCGCAGTTCCTTTCAAAAGACAATCAGCTGTTCTATTATTGACATAAATTTTACATTAATTAATATGAAATTGTAATTTTTATTCCGCTTGAACCAAATTTATAGTCTTTATGGTCGCACAACTATAAAATACACTTGTCAGAATGGTTCAAGTGAGAGCACCCTTGCTTTATAAATTTTTAACCTTGATTGTAGTATGGCTTGTCTTGTATTTGCTCATGTTTTGGTCAAATACACGGAGACATGATCCAATAAACAGATACTTAGTGAGACAGAACTGTGATACCAAACTGAAATTCGGTGAGATGTGCCCGACTCTTTACACTGACTTGGGAGGGAAGTGTGTCCTCAGTGGCACTGTCCTCGATTGTCCGGACATTCGACACAAGGCGAAAGCAAGAATGAGGCAAGCCCAGCTTGTGATGGTTAGAATGTTACGGATATTCCATCTGATTGCCACGAAACACAATATACGTTATTGGATAAGCGCGGGTACATTAATAGGCGCAGCAAGACACAAAGGATTTATCCCCTGGGATCACGACGTGGATGTAGAATTGACACTGACAGATTACATAAAGTTTGTTACGGTAGGAAGTAAAGATCTTCCCGAAGATATTTTCTTTCAGAATTCACAAACAGACAGTCACATCCGGGAGGCAGCTATCGCGGACGCCCAACTGACACCCAAAAGGCATCCGAGTCATCCCAAAATAGGGTATTACAAATCCCCTTTCAATGGTCGTCTAAGAGACAAAGCTAGTTGCTATGGGTACTGCTTGCTGTACGGCTGCGATTGGCATGATGGGCTTCAAGTGGATATATTCGTTACTGAAAGGAAGGTCAAAGACGTATTTCCATTAAAGGAGATGGAATTTGAGGGGTTTGTATTTCCTGTTCCTAAAAACTGGTCCGAGGATCTACAGGGATCCTACGGTGAAGATGTACTCAAAATACCTCGCCAAAGTTCGGATCAACAACCACAAATTCTGCCTCACCCGACGACCAACTGCCAGAGGCTCGCCGAAGAAAAAGTAGAATTCGATTAACAAGGAAAGCACACAAAATGTTCCAAAAGCACCCGTAAGAATCCGATTTCGGAACATCCTCATTGTCTTTTTTTGATGAACTATTGTTAATTTCAACAAACCTGCATGAGAGAGGTGAAACAGATTGATTTCACACGCGGTATAAAACGTTGGGATTTAACGCAGCTCACAAAAATTTTCCCTTCTTTTCACTACCAAACTTGGTGAACCATTTACAATAGAAACAAAAAAGTTGACTCGGCCAGAAGGGTGGTTTGCACAACCTCGTCCCCAGGGTCCACTCGTTTTCCAATATGGTGGCGGTAGAAAAACGAGAAAACCCTGGGGGCGAGCTTGTGATTTGCCTCATTTATCATCCTAGTTGGGATAACGTTTCTTGATATAAACAATTTGGCTCGCCCCGCCGAGTCATCTCGGTCAAGGCGAGACACTCAAAGCATTCGCCAGCGCTGTTGTCAGCTCTTGGCTCGGGCAAAGAGGTCAAAGATTTTCGCATATAAACACTCGCTGAAGTTGACTCGGCTGGGAGGGCAACCCTCTGTTATTCCCGGGACAACTTTTCTCGATATAAACGAAGCATAATTAACTTGTGTTGTTAGTCAGTGAATTACCATATACTGTATTTAGCGATATGTAATTACTAGATTCGCATGCTCTCTTGTAGACGATACCAAGGGCGCTTTCCATTTGTCAGAACTGACCGGCCACACTATTCAGTAATAATGAGTGTGCACTGACAGGAGAATAATACAGGGCAAGTACAACAAATGACCACACAATTTGTTACGGTATTATAAACAATTAAAAGAAGTTACAAGGTTACAGAAGTAACAGGTAACAGCGCACTGAAGTCCTTTTTTATTGCCCTACCAGTGTTTGGTGATCTATTTATCAATTCTTCTAACGACACTAGCAGGCCAACTGTTACCGAGTCTCTGAACTGAAAATTTAAGAGCGAAACAAGTTGTTATGAAGTAGCGTTTCTCAGCTCTTTAAAGAAGATGGTACTTCAAAATGGCCTTTTTTATAAACCACCTTCTGTACGTAATCTTCACTACAGAAGTTGGAATTTTTCTCGGAAATGCCGGAAAAAAGGAAAGTACAGTTCCTGTCCCGCACTGAGCGCACGTAGTTTTTGTAAACTCCAGGTGATGACCGCAAATTTGAACGATAATCTCTGTGACAACGAGCGAATTACTCACACAACTTCCTTTTTCCTTTGCGTCACCAGAAAACAAAGGAATTTACCGTCGCGATTTGTCGCAAGAGAATGAATTCATGTTGGTTTTACACAGTTATTGCTTTGAAGCCCGAGAGGCGAGGACAAAGTAATAAACTCAAGTATCCACGCAATGGCTGTCCAGTTCCGACAGAAAATGTCTGCATTTTCCCAGTAGCACTTTAATGGCCTCGCAAACAAGCACATCTGAGGACAGAGCACCAGTAGATTCGACTGAAACTAGATAAAAAACGCAGCATCAACAAGTAACTTGCGCAGAACGCAGTCTGCTTAAACGCCTACATCTCTGACTTCGACCGTTTCAATGTAGATCTCTTGTTTAAAATTTCCCAAAACAACAGATATAACGACAAAGAATGCTAATACATAATAAAACAACATTGCAGTTTCTTAACTTGAGCAGTTCAAAAGTCATTCAGAACTCAGCGAGATTCAAACTCCCACCTTTGCGATGACCGGACGTGACACTCTCACCCTTTGAGATGTTATCATGACAACTGGAGAGCACGTCAATGGACCTTGTTACATTCCACAGAACTAATGCACCAGCTCGAGGCTTAAGGTGACAAGTTTACCCAAGCCTCGATCTTGTGTGAGGTCACTGGCAGGGAGGGGGGGGAGTGCAGGGACGTTCCTTGTGAGTTGGTTATAGAATATTGAAATGAACTTACAAATAAAATGGTCTCTTATCCTTGAAAGTTTAACTCGATCCTTCAATTCCTGGAATAAGAAATCAGCTTTTTCATTCGTTTTATACCTCGCGGATATAAACCTTTTAATCACGAAAAAGAGAACGAATTATAACTGATCTTATATATTAGCAAATATCGGCTAAATGCACTGGAACAGGATTAGTTTCCCACCTATCCCTCCCCTGAGCCAACATTAACACTTACTTCTTACTTAGGGCAAAATGTTGGCTTAGGGGAGGGGTAGGTGGGCAGTTTCCCAGAAACGTATAATGATCCAGTTAGGCCCGGGTCCACACGTATCCGTTTTTGTTTGAAAACGTAGACTTTTTCTCCGATTTCAAAACATAGCGTCCACGTGTTGCGTTTTTGAATCGTTTTTTCCCGTCCGCACGAAAACGCAATAGTGACTGAAACGACCTGAAACTGTTACATATTTGATGGAAGCATGCGCATTTACTGGTATCTGAGCCAATTTACCGGCACCTGAACCTCAAATTACCAAGACTTAACAAGAGGAACAGCTGGGAGAAGGGCATTAGTAAAACTACGAATAAGCAATCACAAATTAATGATAGAAACAGGTAGATACAATTAAAATACTAAAGATTATAGGCATTGCCCTCTTTGTGGATCTAATTTAATTGAAGACGAAATTCACTTACTAGTTTGTTGTTCTACATTACTCTATAATTAGGAATAATTTTTACAATAAAGTCAAGACTCTGATTCCAAATATTACCCAGTTACCTGTAAATGTTTTAATCAATGAACTGATGAACTCCTCTGATTACTTCATAATATACAATTCATTAAATATATTTCAGCTTGAGTTGATCTTCGTGACAAATTATCACCAAATAGTAACGTAATTGTCCTAAGATGTAATTTTAGTCCTTCAATAAAAAAGAGCTTTTGCAATATTCTTTTTACTTGTATGGTCATGCAAATAAAGCTCGTTGCTGTTGGTGAGCCCACGAAATGTTGGCGCCTAATCTCGTGCGCGGGATTGACTGGACCACACACCGTGACGTAATCGTTTTCAAAAACCTTCGTTTTCATCTGTCCACACGAGTACATCGAAACGAGGTTTTCAAAAATCTCCACTCTGGAGAGCGATTTTGAAACGGTACGTTTTCGGTGACTGTTTTCAATGGATAAGTGTGCACGTTAGGCCAAAATGGAGGAAAAAATCGTGTTGATGGCGCCTTGCTTGCTTACGTGAGGTATGAGAGAATGGAATATGTAAAAATGACAGCCCAAAAAAAGTGGTGGCAGTCGGTTGCAAAGAGTTGGTCGCATACGGAGAGTTCTGTCTGTGGTTCTTTGAGAGCAAATGTTTTGGTTTTTTGATGATGTATTCGGCTACGGCAGGTGACAGGTTGAGAGAGGTGGTCGCAAATGAAGATTCGGCTTTACTTTATGATTACTGATGAGTAACGTATCGCAGGTGGCATTACGGTGCGACCAAACGAACCGATGCCACCCAGACAAAATTTTGAGACAAATTTTGAAATTAGGCAATCACACGTCGAGAACTGAACAATGAAATTGCGCATACTTGTACTCAGAGCCAGTTCAAAATAAGTTCAAAATTTTGGGCTGGGTTGTTCAAAGCAGGGTTAAGATAACCCAGGGTTAGTGCGAAATTTCAATTCAAATATGAAAAATTAAAAAAATAATTCAGTTTTTTCTTTTTGTCTATCATTTGATGAAAAGATGCTCTGAAAAGAGTCTAGAAAATTATCCAGGAAAATGCTTTTGAGCAAAAGAAAAATAACCCTGGGTTAGCGCCAATCGGCCTTCGAACAACTGGGCCTTTTTAAAGTGGCGGTGAGGTTTTTTCTTCGTAAATCAAGGACTTCATTGCTAAGCCGAGAACTGAACCACCGATGGTAAATATTCCGTGGGCACAAAAATAGCTTTTTGGCCATTTAAAAAAACGTAAATCGGAAAGAACTAACCTCGTGTCTAAAAACCTCCCTGCTGCAGGTATCTTTTCTTGGATTGGCGACAACTGCCCGCTTTATACCTGAAACGAAAACAAAGAATCACTTAGCACAGCTTACAGGGCCTCTTCTTACGAACAAGGTTGAATGAGATGGTTAACGATTAACGTAAGAAGTGTGATGTGCGTGCATTAAGGGCCTGACTCCCCATTCGAAGAAGACAGATACCAACCACCTTAAAAAGGCAGAAATACAACAATAGGGAGCTTAAGCAACAACGACGGCGATGGCTACGAAAACATCACTTAAAAAGTGAATTTGCGCTGCTTCAAACTTTATCGCGCTTATTCCAACTCGTTCAATTCGTCAAATGTTGGTAATTTTTTTTTCTGAAGTTGAATTCTAAAAGACTGTATCGAAGTTCAGGAAAAGAAAAAGAAAGTCGTCGTCTTACGTTCACGTCCTCCGCAAAACGAGAAATTAGGCATTTTCACGTCGTAGTCGTGCGGTGACGGGAAGGAAATGTGCAAAAAGCCTGATGCAAGTGCAGAGTTGTTGTTTTGCCAATCTAAACCTGTTGCTTTTTTGCCGTTCTTGATGACGTCGCTGTCGTCGTTTTGATGGTCCTAAGTCTTTGTCTAGACCACGCCTACGCTAGAATAATGAAGGCACGTACACTGCGGCAGCAAATTTAAGGTTGCGCCCGTGAGACTCGGTCGGTGTCGAAATTACACTATGGATTTTATGGGAGAACGAATTTTGAGCCAGTTCAGTCCTGCGCAACCTGGCAATAACCGAAAAACATGGAGAAAGCGAAATAAACGTCCCGTGGTGCAATTTGAGACAACGCCGTGNGAGAAATTAGGCATTTTCACGTCGTAGTCGTGCGGTGACGGGAAGGAAATGTGCAAAAAGCCTGATGCAAGTGCAGAGTTGTTGTTTTGCCAATCTAAACCTGTTGCTTTTTTGCCGTTCTTGATGACGTCGCTGTCGTCGTTTTGATGGTCCTAAGTCTTTGTCTAGACCACGCCTACGCTAGAATAATGAAGGCACGTACACTGCGGCAGCAAATTTAAGGTTGCGCCCGTGAGACTCGGTCGGTGTCGAAATTACACTATGGAT